CCCCCCTCCTTTAATCCCAGGTTCATCATTTCCTTGGATAAACATCTCTGAATTTGTACCCCAAATTAATAGGAAAATATAATATATAAAATTTTTACTATTACACCCATATTTCAATCACATATCTAATAAGACTCGAGTTTGATATTACTTTATCAGACAAGTTTGTCTCTTGAGTGGCACAATAATCTGGTGAGGAAAGCCAGTTAGTGACAGAAGTACCAGAAACGGGAGCCCTGCCAGTTATCCGTCTCTGAAGCTCTAGTAAGGGCAGGCTCACACTTGACCCCAGGACAGCTGGAGTTGTCACCACCCACAGCCTATATATAATAAAGGATGGCCAGGAACTTGGTTTCTCTGGATGGTTGACTATATTAGTATAACTCAAGTGTCAGCTACCCAGGTATCCCAACCTTTCTGTCGGGTCTGCCGCCGGCCGACCCAAACAGCCCTAGCCCTTGGTGGGCGAGCGAATTGACCGGATTCCTCTTTCCCTCTGGTCCCCTTGGAAGGAGACGGGGGAAGAGAGCCATGAAGAGAGGTGAGCACACCGCCGGCCCCAACCAGCCCATTAAAGGACACTCAGACACGGTGGGGGTTCTGTCAAGCAGTTCCGTTTATTATCACACAAGCACTTGCTTTTAANGTTCTGCTTCTGGCTTTGCCTCCCAGCTTCCCTGGCTTCTCCATCTTTCCTTTGCACCAATTGTACTGACTCCCCCTGTAGTACCATCAACATAAGTCTGTATAGCAGATCTTCATTGAAGTTTTTATAGTAGTGGTTGGGGGAGGAGGGCAATGAGAGAGGGATTTTTGTCTCAGCATTGCATAGTCAGGGAATAAGACTGGATTGTATACATCCTTGTTCTTAAAGAATCTATTAGCCATTCTCACAGGTTTCATCCCAAGTAGAATCCTGCCTCCAAATCTTATTAAAATTTCAACTTCCTTTTTTGTTCTCATCATCTCTTTCTTTCCAAAGGCCTTGGAAAATTCTAAATGTATTAGAGGAAATAACTTAGTTCTTTGTTTTATTTCTATTCTTTCCAAATAGTGCCTTGAAAGCTCCTATTATATCCAAAATGACCTATCAAGATGTTTCCCTAACAAAGGAGTCATCTTCCTACCTCTAAGAGTCAGCATAAGAGGTTAACTGTGATTTTAAAAGGAATTTCTTTCTCCACTGCACTAAAAAATATTTTTCATCATACTTTGGCAAAACTAAAGTAATGAATAAACAACCTTGTCCCTAAGTAATCCATAACCTGTATCTGGTAGAAAACTGCTTTCATTCTATCTGCCCTTGAAGTTGAAGCCTCCTTCTTATTTTGAAGCTCCTTTTTTTCCAAAACACCTTAAGGATTTTTAAGTTTAAATGATTAACAGAAACTCAATTTGATGTAGACTGGAAGTCAGGAGACTAGGTTCTAGTCCCAGCTCCAGCTAACTACATACATACCTGTGATACTGTTACCTGATATAATATTTCTAGGACAGTTGCTCAACTATCAGTAATGATAGTGCTAGACTCACCAAGATTCCCTCCAGCTCTAAAATTTTATGGAGGTAAGTGGTAGGTAGTACATTTTTAAAAGAAGGCCAAATAATAATAACCGCAAAACAGAAAAAGTCTTTTTGGTGTTGTTTGAAAGAGTTGGACACTAAATGGGAACAAGATTGGGAAGAGCAGTTCATGTTCTCTTCTGCCAGTTCGCTCTATGGCTGGATTCCCAGCCAGGACCACAATAGAGAGACTTTTATATCTTGTTCTCTTTGTTCCTGAGTTTTAAAAAAGTAAGAAATGACAAATATAAAAATCTTTAGAATTTGGGTAGTGGTATAATTCCACTTTCTATTTGTTTAACATTTTGTTTCCACCAAAGCTGTTTCA